GAATCCAACTGGCCTGAACTTCCAGTTAAATTGCAAAAGTACTTCATAATTATGGTAAATCTAAAACGAATTACATACGTAATTCAAACTTTTCCGTACCGCGCCAATTTTTCTTACCTTCTGCTTGAGAAAACGATTTCCTAATGAATTCATTAGACTCACCAAGAGAGCTATTAAGTCAGTTTATCTTCGCAGGTCGCTAATACTCAGAAACCAGTCTTTTATCACGGATTCGGCGTTGCTGTTTTGAATTTAGAAACATTTACCAACTTCTTCAAAGCGGGTCTAACGTATTACATGGCATTCAAGACAATGACAACCAAATAAAACTTTAATTACGAACGAAAAATAGTTGAACAAATGGAATCAGCCCATCGATTTTTACAAGAAATCACTTCGGTTGCACAATGCAACTTGCACTAAATAGACTAGACTCTGTTTTTTGCACTCAGTTTCAAAAGATATTGAATGATTTCAACACATTCCTGCTATCACACAATTCAGTTTATGCACAGTTTTTGATTCCAATAAAACTATATTGTTGAAAAAAGTTTGAGTTATTTTGATTGCTTCATTTGGATTTGTCTGCAATAATTGTATCGAATTCGATTCATCATTTTTGTGTCATATAAAAATCTCAAATGCAATTAGCCAACACCGTTGTGTTGCAATTATTGCAATCCTCTCATAAAGAATCTTTCATTGAACTTTTAAAATGTGCGTACGACGTACGTGTTATACTTTAAAAATTTCATGTAAAACATTTACGAGTGCTATAAGTGCATGGCGTGTCCAGAGAATATAAACAAATTAAATAATTCATGGCTATCAGCTTTTTGTAATTGGCGCCACGCGCCAGTTCTTCTAATGAACAAAGTATTGTTTAACACCAAAATGAATACGTTTAATTTTATGAACTATAAGGTCTATAACTATTAGATTACATTTAACGCTGTGTATGCCCTTAAATACGTTGTTACTAGTATTAGTCACTATTCATTATCGTCCTTGATTATTTGTCTGATGTGAGCGTTTTGAACATCATGTAGAACGAACACACACATCGAATGAACTGAAGAAACAGAAATGGAATTATTCGTAGTTTCGAAACGAATTGTATAATCTGTACATCGATCCTTAAAGCTACTCACTTTGCAAAACGTTTCCAGTTTCAAAATTATAATGCTAAATCCATGGTAGTATAAAGGTTTTTGCATGTTCGCAATCATGAGGATGAAATATTTCTGCAGCTCAATGGGCAGTTCATGCCAATTAACCTCATAATACAAATAATTGGCCATTTTCTCAAAGCTCACAGTGGTCACTTTGCCAAAATAACAGTCATTTCTTGTTCCAAATCATAACGATTCATTGAAATTTATTTGTTTAACAAAACCAAGAGAATCCTACTTTCAGAAAAACAATTTACTTTTTAGAAACGTCATCAGCTACTTTTAATGGAAAATTTCAATCGCATGGAAATTAAACTGTACAACGAACATGATTTATATACGTTACTTATGGATTGTTGGAACAGTTCAAAAATATTGTTAATTAAAATCCACCTAGGGGCTTTTAAGTCAAAATATACATTCGTATTTATGTGAATATTTCGTGAATATTGCATATAATCCAGAGATTGCATATTTACTGCTGAGTAGGCCTGAGCTGAGCTGAATTTGCTAACTCAGGCGCCTGAAGCGGTATTTTAGCGTACTTACGGTGCAAAATTGTCGTAGCACGCTGGAATTTACCCAAATATAATTAGAAAAAAAAAAAAAAAATCAGTGGGATTTTCAGCGTGCCACGACAATTTTGCACCGTAAGTACGCTAAAATGCCGCTTCAGGCGCCTGAGTTAGCAAATTCAGCTCAGTTCAGGCCTACTCAGCAGTAAATATGCAATCTCTGATATAATCCGTGTATATGATGTATATTTTCACGAAAAATATTCACCATATTCACAGAATATACACAGCGTGTAAAAAATATGTGTTTACGGCAATGTCGAATCTTTGTTACCGATCGTGAATATGAGGTGTATATTTCATGAATATCGTGTATATTCCGTGAATATCGTGCATATTTTGCCAGTATTGTGAATATTTCATATAACTGTCATCTATGGTGTATATTTCTTGGATGGAATATACATGAAAGCCCCTAGAAATCCACTTAAATTTAAAAAAGTAAACTGTAGCACGTTCTTTTAAGACTGAGTTGTTCTAAGAAGTAAAAGTTGTTTATTCTTAATGGTTTTAATTGTAAAAATTACATTGATAGCCAACATTTCCACGAATGGAAACTTTCTAAACAACAAACAGTTTCGATAAAATTGAACAAATTCCGAACTTCATCTTTTTGATACGCACGAGAATGTTTTGTTAAATCGGAGATATTAAAGGGAGAGAACATATATATTCTCAACGAATATATGAGTCGTACGACTTTCTAAATTCGAATAGCGTTTTTTTTTCTTTACAACATGTGCGTAAATCTCGCAAAGTTAACTCATATGTTGTACTTTTGCGATTGGTTATTATTGGTTAATATTGTACAGAACAGTTCTCGTCTATCTCCCCGTAATGCGCTTTTAAAACATTTGAGTATTCATGATTTGTCATTTTCTGCTAGAAAAAGTGCCAATTCACTAGAAAAACGGGTTTTAATATCTCTGATGACTGAAGTGAGTGATTTTGACAAAATTAAGGGAGATGGTCTAGTTATGAGACAGCGCCAGTTATGAGACAGTCAATTATTTCTGTCATACGCTATGGAAATGTTGGTATGAGAGCTGTCAATGTTCTTTATTTGATGTCCGCCAGTTTTTGAGCGAACACCGAAGTGAATAGACGCATTGCTTGTATACGCACCAAACATCGTGTTGAAAATCGTGTGAAAAAAGGATTTGGAATATTTTTCATAGTGCCAATTTTTTGTGAAAATCAAGTTAAAAAGGTGAGTGTAATGCATTAAAATGTTGTATTTTGATTATATTTTGTGATTCTAGTTCGGATTGTTCGATTATGTGTTGTGGAAATTTTTTTGTGAGTAATGTTCAAAATGGCGTCTCGATCCGGTTATGAGACACCGTGTTGCCCAGTTATGAGACACTCTAGATTTTGCACTGAAAGCGTATAGAAACGTCATATTTCGTCATTTTTGTTGTCAAAACGCATTTATATGCAATTACAATTGTATTTTAACTAATATTCTCGGATTTTCAGCCATGTCTCCTCCAAAAAAGGCTACGCCTAGTCGAAATAAGGTGGTCGAAAATTTTGATGCGCTGTTGCAAGCCATTAAATTATGTATAGTGGAGAAGAAAGGTATTCGAAGGACTTCCCAAGAACATGGAATAGATAAGAGCACCTTACAGCGCCACTTGAAGAAAGTTGCAGAAAATTTTGACCCTCTGAACTATCCAGCTCGGTGTCACTAATGTCTCTTGCAAGCAACACTTCGTCGGTTTTGGATGCGGTTGGCTCCAAAACCAAAGGCGAATCGTGGACGAAAACCGATGGAAAGTGCTGAATTGACTTCTCCGGAAACCATGTCCGTTTTGAAGCAAAAGGCACTTGCGAAAGCGCAAGAAGCAGCAGCGAAAGCGGAAAAAGCAGCAAAGAAAGCAACGCCAAAGAAGCCAACCCCTAAGAAAGCAGCACCGAAGAGAGCAACATCAAAAGCAACACCACCGCCCAAGCGCCGTAGAACTGAAAAATCACCACCGTCCGATGAAGACACGGACTTCTGCATCATTTGTTTGACGCTGTTACCAAACAAATTGACCGCTGAAAATTCCATCCAATGCAACGTATGCAAGCGGCCAGTTCACTTGATATGCGCTGTCATGCGTGCAAGCTTCTTTACTTGCAAACACTGCGACAGTGACATAGAACAAGAAGAAGACGAGGATTTCGATGATGATGATGAATCAAAATTGTTATTTCCTTGTCATGTAAGGCCATTAAAGGCCCAATTTTCTTTATTTTAGCCATTGAAGGTCTTTATAATAAATAAAGAATAATATTTGAACATTTTATGATGAGTTTCCTTCATATTTATCCACTTGTATTCAATTTTTCTGGGTGTCTCATAACTGGACCAAAATTTTTTTGGGGCCAAAAAAATAGTCCTCACAAAATTGGTCAAATTTTTTTTCGAGTAACTGGAATCAATAAACTTTCATCGGAAAAAAGTTGCGTCTGGACATAAGCTACATGATAGAACTCTAACTTTCCATTTTTGAAAGCCACAGAATTTTTTTTTTAATCTTAAACAAAACCCGTCTCATAACTAGACCATCTCCCTTAATATTAATATTTCATTGATTCATCAAAATGGAATATATCAAATATGAATTGTCTATCGAAGCGTCCATATAAACGGTTCGCCAAAAAGACGGAATTGAATAGAAATGAGATACTTATTCAAATGAAGATAGCGAAAAATGAACAATCATCATAATATTTTGTACCGATTATAAATTATTTTGCGAAACAGAGGTGAGATAACATTACCATGACTTGACACAGTGTTGTACAACAGGACTTGAAATTTATTTAGATAAGATATTTGCAGGGATTAAGAATCGCACTGAGTGAACTCTGTGAGTAGCGCAATGCATCAAAATGTCGTGGGCGCTGGGCGACGAACAGTTCACAATTTCTCAAAAAAAAAAGAGTTTACCTATTTCGGCTATGTAGAACTTCTTTTTATTTTTTCGACCGAGCGGAAATCCGCACGAAGCAAAGGATAAGTAAGTGAGGGGTGTGCGCACACAACTAAGTTTGTATTTGAAAATCATCGCACACGAGCGCTGTGGCTCTCATTAAAATGAGTTGTACTGTGAACTGAATTTGCGATTCATGAGCTCTGGATATTTGTGAAAAATCAAAAAAATAATTTAGATGAAGATGAGATATTATCTTATTTTATCTATCTAAATTTTATCTTTGTACAACACTGACTTAGCTTCGATGAAATTAATATATATATTTTAACACGCATTAGAATAAGATTGAGATAACCTTGTCTATATAATTGACTGGACAAAGAATTGCGCGCTTGTTTGATAAGGAAAAAGAAGGAGAAAAATAAAGATATAAACCTCTTCACATTGATTGTGATTATTCAGTCGTGAATCAGTGTCCATTGAGCAAAGTGAACTGAATTTCGAAAATTGATTTAAAAGACGGTTTTAGTTGCTGTGTTTTTTTAAAAGACTTAATTAAATAATTTCCTTTTAGAAAAATCACATTTGAAAACCATTTTAAATGTTGTGTTGTTTATTGTCAAGCACAGCGCTTGCTGTGTACGCGTTATCATTGCTGTCGATTTATTTCTACGTAAAATATTTGTACTCATACTGGCAACGCTGTGGAGTGCCATATGTGACGCCATCGTTTCCGTTCGGAAATTTCGGCAAGAATTTCATGCAGAAGACGACATTATGCGAACAAGTTGATGAGTACTATCGCAACACTACGGAGCCATTCATTGGCATGTTTGGAATGTTTCGGCCGACTTTAGTTGTCTGCGATCCGGAGCTCGCGCGAAACATTCTAATTAAAGATTTCAATAATTTTTCCGACCACGGTGTTTATGTGGATGAGGCAAATGATCCAATTTCGGCGCATTTATTCGCTCTGCAAGGTGCCAAGTGGAAAAATCTTCGGCTTAAATTGACACCAACATTTACATCGGGCAAAATGAGAGCGATTTTCTCAACGCTGCTCGATTGCACGAACCCGCTGCAAAATTACATGGAAAAAGTGGCCGAATCGGGAGAAATAGTCGAATTTCGTGAAGTAACTGCCTGTTATTTAACAAATGCCATTGCATCGGTGGCATTTGGCATTGATATTGATTGCTTTGCTGACCCGGATAATGCATTCCGAAAATATGGTCGTCAAATGTTTGATCTTACTAAGTCAAATGCATTTCGATTTCTGTGCTTTAATTTAAATCCAAATTTACTCAAGTGGTCAGGCATGCATTTCTTAGACAGGGAAGTTGAAAATTTCCTCTTTGACGTGGTCAGACAAACACTTGAATTGAGAGAGAAAAATAATATCGTGCGTAAAGACTTTTTCCAATTGTTGGTTCAGCTGCGCAATAGCGGCACTGTTCAATTAGACGACGACTGGCAAACAGTGATTACGAACGATAACAACAAATCATTGAGCTTTGAAGAGATTGTCGCACAATCGTTCGTTTTTTTTGCAGCTGGGTTTGAAACGTCATCGGGTGTCATGTCATTTTGTTTGTATGAAGTGGCCAAGAGTCCGGAGATTCAACGAAAAATTCAAGACGAAATCGATACGGTGTTGGCTCAACACAACGGCCAATTCACTTATGAATCAATTAATGAGCTGAAATATTTGGAATGCTGTATTGATGGTGAGTTGTCAGTATTATTTAATCGCAAAAATACGAGGTTTTCGAATGTTTGGTTTGAATTTTTGATCAAATTCCAGCCAAAAGCACTTGCCTTGCAAATTTATAAATTATTCCGGTTATCAATTTGATAAGATAACAGTGATTATCGATTAAATATCAGTTCGGATACTATTTTTGTTTGTCGCTTTACTGATATGCGTGTCGTTAGACATTTTAAGATCTAAAGCATTATCAGTAACATTTGTGTGTTTTTGTCTCTTTCGATTGATGATTGCTTTTCCCAACTCAATCGGTAATGCGCAGGCCTGATCGATTTTCGATTGAGTTATACATTACATTCTTCACACCTTATTGATTTTCTTCCTTCAGAAACGCTGCGCAAATATCCAGTTGTCCCGATTTTAACCAGGCAATGTACCAAAGAGTACAAGATCCCAGGGTCCAATGTAACAATAGAGAAAGGAACTTCCGTTTTCATTCCGGCATTTTCATTGCAAAGAGACGAAAAGTACTACCAAAACCCAGATAAATTCGATCCATTGCGCTTTTCCTATGAGAATCGAAATGGTAAAACCATTGTTGACATGCCATATTTTCCATTCGGAGCCGGGCCACGCACATGTATCGGTGAGTTCGATGTTTGATATATATATATCAAAATACAGATTTACATTTTGCCGTAACACATTAATATTGTAACGAAGAGCCAAAGTAATGATATTACAATTGTAATGCCAAAATTTAGCATTACCGGTAATGTGTTACAATTGTAATAGCTATTACTTGACCCGTCCGTTACAATATTAACATGTTACCTAACATTAACGGCAATGCCAGAAATCTAACATTATTAATGTGATTTTCTAACATTACACACGCAATGTAATGCCAAATGTAACAAGTTACGTGACATTACAGAGAATTTTTTTTCACTTGAGAACTTAAAAACTCTTTTTCAGGATTGAGAATGGGAAAAATGTCAACCATAGTCGGAATCGCTTCAATACTTCAAAAGTACAACGTTGAACTCGGCGAACAACACATTGGAGAAGAGCTGGAATTCTCACCCGCCAGTGTTACTCTAGCACCCACTACTGGAATTAATTTGAAGATTCAGAAGAGACACATTTAGTTTTTAACGGCAATCTAATGTCTTTCAGGAGATTCGACACTATCGAATTGTGGATTCTACAATTTTACAAATAAACTGGGCAACGATGAAGAAATTTTGAGTTTGAATCAAAATTTAACGTCGCACATGGTCGTGCAGATTTCTGATAGACAGATTAAAATGGAATGGAATGCTTGAAGATCGGATTGAATCCTTTATTTTTTAAATACATTTTTTGGCAGACTTTTACCTAATGTTAAGCGCTGGTTAAATGACCTTGGTTCACATTCATTGTTCATTGACCCATTGTGTGTTCAAATGACACAAATCCGTTCAATGAATGGAGAACGCCTGAAAGTTGTCAATGAATTCATTGTGGTGGTGTCCATTTATCATTTAAGTGTCGAAGGAAATAAAACCACACGGGTAAGGCTATTACTTTTGATCATATATTATACACACTATAGACATTTCCTAACGATGGAGGAGTATTAATTGCTTATGACGACGTATTGAGCATTGCTATTGCAACTCAACGGATATTTTCAAATTAAAACCATTCTCTCGCATTTATTTTATGTTCATTTTTTGAATACAAAGTTTCTACAATACAACTAACTCAAACACACAAATGAATCGCGGTCCGTCGATTCAAATAATTCAATTTTATTAGCTAAACCTTTTTCTATCCTTGAATTAGGATCGATCATCATGTGTATGTGATGGAAAGATCCTTTATTTTCTTTAGAAAAATGAATATCTTCAAGTTTTAGATCAAATATGTCGAAAGCTGCAAATGGTGTTCGAGTTTTACGTATTGAAACGGAGCAAATATCACAATCGCTCTATCTGCGGCGGAATTTCAAGGCTGCTCACACCAAGTTCGACTTTGTATTTTTGAAGCATCGAAGCAATTCCGACTTTGGTTGACATTTCTCCTATTCTCATGCCTGAAAGAAATATTACCTCATGGTCAAATACATCGTCCAAACAGTTTCTCCCGATTCGACCACATTTTCCACGTAATTTTGCAGCGGGTTTTTACAATCCAGTAGTGTCGAAAAAAATCGCCCCATTTTATTGGTGTCAATTTAACACGAAGATTTTTCCACCTGTCACCTTCCAGAGTGTCCCGAAAGTGGATCATTCACTGCATCCACATAAACACCGCGGTCGAAAAAATTATTGAAATCTTTGATTAAAATATTTCGCACAAAATCCGTACTGCAAGCGATTAAAGTCGGTCGAAATAAGCCATAAACACCGATAAATAGCTCCGTGGTGCTGCGATAAAACTCATCAACGTGTTCGCCAACCAGAGCCTGTCCGTGCGCTCTTTGCGCCCTGGTGCAAAATTGCCAGGGCGCTCTTTTCTTAGGATGAAATGAAATAGACTCAAAATCGTCTCAAAACGAGTAACTTTCTTGTTAGAAAAGTTCTGTACGCTATTGTGTGTATCGTTCATATTATGAACTTCATGGTGTTTCGTGTATTTCGAAAGGCACGAATAAAATCCAACGAAATTTGTCTTATGTAATACTGAAAATTTGCATTTTAGATTTATTGAAAACATTATAAATTACTGCGAGCAAACTACAAAAAAATTTTGTCATTCCAAAAATATAGCGCTTGAATACACATGTTTACTGAGAATTACATGGAAAAGGGTGCTCAAAATAACTGAATATATTTTGTAGTCGGTTGAATAAATACTGAAATCTTATTGTTTAATATTTTTAAATTGGTAAAAAGTGCTTTAAATACAAGTGGCACTTCAATATATATATAAGCTGATCAAATGCTTTTGGTGCATTCGGCGCTCTCGACGCCTGAATTTTTCTTTTTTGTATAATTCAAGCAATTGAGCGCCAGTTTGCACAAATTTCAGCACTCGCGCGCCTTCGGCGCCCTAGCGCCGTGGTGCAGCGCACCACTTGCGCCCTATCTGGGACAGGCCCTGTCGCCAACTGACAATTTCTCCTTGAAATTCTTGGTAAAATTTCCGAACGGAAACGATGGCAAGGCACTTCGTGACGCTGCCAGTAAGAATATAGATATTTTACGTAGAAATAAATTGAAATGATCGAAAATGATAACAACGCAAGCGTTGTACTCGAAAATAAACAACAAAAGATTTCGGTGTTGACAGTTCGGTAGTCGGCGAATAACTGACGCTTGAAATTCAATTGACGATGGTTTGAGTGAATTTGATCATATCAAATTGTGCTAAGTAATGATTTGTTATGTGAATACTTCGTTCAATATATTTAGAAAATACGCGATGAGAAAAAAGAGCGATGTTTTGAATGTACTATCAATCGTTTTGACGGGTATTCTAATCATAAACCATAACAATTTGTTTTTAGCACGTGTCTATTCAAAGCGATCAGGTTCAATTGAATGAATTGATTCTATCAATATTCTATCAATATCCTATTGATGTAGATCGACCCGTTCATCACAACATTCCTCTTCATTCTTTCTTTTCACCGTGGATTTGATTCAATGTTTCTGCTCAGGGTTTGCTATCACAAATAAAAATGTAAGTACTCATTTTTTCTCCATCCATAGTTGGTATTTAATGGATGCTTTTTTAAGTTCATATTTCAAAATACTGTATTAAAAAAATGTTCTCTTCTTTACATACAAAAAAAAAAATAACGGAATTTTTCTAGCTTTTTTATTTGAAATGATTACATTTTGTTTTTTCTTTGAGTTGTTTTTTTTGAATCAAATTTTTCTCTTCCAAATTATTTTTCAAAACATAGAGAAAAGATTCCGCTACAAATAATTTATCCGATTTCTCTACTGTTTGGTTCTCGAAAAAGAGATTCAATACGTTATCTATTTTTTTTTCTCAATCTAAATATAATTTATATGTATACATTGTATAGTTAATCAGTGCTGCGCATTGTTTTAAAGCCAACCAGGAATTTACAATTTTTCTAACGAACGGCATGAAAATTGAATCTAGAGAGAAAAAGATAGTGTTGAAATGTAATACCAAATATGGAGGCAAACCGAACTACGAAAACGACATATGTGTTATTAGTTTGCCAAATCCAGTTGATTTTGTACAAAATATCCCAAAAATAGAGAGTAAAAATATACTAAAAAAACACACGACATAGAGCAAGAGTCATAGCTCTAACAAAATTGGAAGATTTTGACTCGTCATATTTTACTGAATACATGAGGGAAGTTAAAGCCGACAAGGAACCAGAAAATAAAAGAATTTTGTGTAAACTCAATGATGAAACAGTCGATAAAGTCATTTGTGTAAATTTGGTGAATAATCGCATGGTACCAGGAGATTCAGGTAGTTTTTATTTATTTTTATTCATAGATACTATTTTACTCACTATTAAAATTTCATTTTCATATTTTACAGAATATAATAATAAAATTAAAAAAAAATTAAAACTGTTTACAGGTTGTCCACTAGTGCGTGTAGATGATGATAGGGCCAAGTGGTTGGATTCATAGGGATGTTGAGCTATACTATGAAAAGTTGTGTATCTCTATATTATTATTCTCTTAACGAATTATGTTCTATATTGTTTTTTTTTTTAAATATTTTCTAGGAAACGGTATGGCTGCCTTCGCCGATATATGTCAACAGAAGGATTTTATTAAGGAAACAGTGGATGTAAACATGAATGAATGTGATAATTAATGTAGAACAGGGCCCAGTTTCATGCAAACAGTTTCAATTTAAGTTAACACTCATTTTGTTTCTTTGGGCCAGAGATGACTGAAGCGCACCGAGTGACCGAGCAACGGCCGCACGGACACTGAGTTTGCGTGCTTAAAACATGCTCAGTGCGATATTGCGCTGCAGCACAAACAAACCCACTCCATGAAGAGAGTATAAGCGCACCAACGGAGTGCGCTACACCGCACTCGTACACAACGAAGAAACAATAGAGAGGATATACAAAGAAAGAAACACAAAGAAAAGAATAAGACAATACACACTCAACTCTTTATATGTGTGTATAAACCATAATAGGCAACAGAATTAGAGTGCGCACACATTTCTTAACAACAAAGTCAGAGTGCGCACATAAACTCATAACGAAGTGAGTGTAAACGCACAGAGCAGAAAACGACTCTCAGTTGAGTTGCTGAATACGCTACTGAGCGTGCGCTTAGTCATCTCTGCTTTGGGCCTTTGTTAATCTAACTTTTTTGGCTATTTTACATTTCCAATGCATATCGTATTGTTTCATAAACAAATTGTTAACATAGTTGGTGCCAAATATAATAATAATAATGTATTATTTTTATACGTGTTGTTTTATTTTTAAGACAAATCTATGAAATATTACATAAACAAATTATTTATTGGACTTTTAAGTGATATTCTACTAGTGATAAAATTCTTCATCTTGATATGCATCGTCCTTATAATCAAAATCATGTCTGATATTCAAAGATGCTCCGCATTTTACTTCAATAAAATTCAATTTAGTTCCAGTTTTCGTCCTTTTTGTGGCCAAATAAATATCTCTTTCGACATATATTGTGATTTTTCTTGCTGTAATCAATGTTTTTCGTTCGTTATCCAGAATATTTACATCTAAGACATTTTCATTTACTTTTAAATTATAAATGATAATTTTCTTCAATTTCAAAGAATATTGAATAAATGGCATAATATCACTTAATTCAGCGTTCAAAAAATGAATGATTTCCAGATTAATGAGACTTTTAGCTAGCACCTGCACGTTTGTAATTAAAGAACGTTTCCCAAAATAACAAAGTTCCTGCAAAGTGTTCAAGGGGGACAGATCAACACTGTTTTTGTAGTGATTCGTGTGCAATTTTGTAAGTCCTTGGTACGACATCAATTCATCAACTGAGGTTTTATCAAATGGGCAACACAATGCACGATAATATACATGCAATTCCATGAACCTTCCCATTTCATACAAATCATTTAAAGCATCTCCAGCCAATGCATATTTATTTCTACATATGCCGAAAAAAATGCTCATAACATTGAATTTGTGTTGAATATTTTTTATCGTAGTTAAATTTGCTAAAAGGAATTCAACATTCAATGCCAAATGTTTGATATTTAAATTTTGATTAAAAAATGTCTCCAACTCAATAATTGGTTTCGCAGGACTTGAAACCAACTCTAAATGCTCAAGCATTGGATACTTTCGTAGTAGCCATTTGTTATCAATGCCAACGATGTTATCTCTTCCAGATTTAATACACAAATGTTTTAGATTTGAACAAAATTGAAGGAAATTTTCATAGAATTCTTTTGTTTGATCCCTAAAATATGAGAATTTTAATTTTAATATTTCCACTCTATGCAAAATCGGTTTAATGCGTGCAATTCCATTGGTGGTCAATTTAACTCGCCTCAGTAAAATTTCATTGAGCCAATTGAATCGATTGGGTTTCATATACGGAACACGGTCTCTCGTTATCTCCCAAGGACTACTGTCTGGAGCCACGTCGAATCCATCCAAAAAACTGAATTGAAACTTCTTCATATATGATGCCAAACCATTAATTCGAATCTTACTATTTACCCAATAAATACCATATCTTCCACATTCCAAATAAATAGCTGGATAATTAGTTCGTAAATAGTAACCGACAATTTGTTGCATTCGTTTGCATGTTCTTCCCAATGCTATCAAATCTTTTAGTGAGATCCAATCGAATAAATCTTCAAAATGATCGATTTTTAATTTGAAAATCTCCGACTGATTTTGTGATGATTCCCCTTGAATTGCATTTGCACATAAGATTATGTATCGTATACAGGCGCTCATTTTTCAATACTTTACTATCACTTTATGTTTACTTGTCATTTTGAAAGAAATTTCGTTGAATGTTGAAAATAACAATTAATTAAATTAATTAATTTAAATTAAAGCAATATAATTTATACTTGAATCGCAAAAAGAAATAACAATACTGTGTTGATGTTGTCACAATTTATTAGAAACAATGATACTTTTGACGTAGCCCCCCCCCCCCACATGGTAAACAATGCTGTGGTTGTTGCTGACTGCGCAATTTTTGAATAGTTCAATCGACATGAATATGTATGAATTTGATTCAGTCGAAAAAAATTCCTTCTGTGCATTCAGTCGACATTTTCTTTATTTTGTTTTTTTCATTTTTTTTAATTATTATTTCATAGTACAGATATGTCTTTTTAATTTCAACTCAAATCATTTTATTTTTCGTTTCTTTGGTTTTTTTTTAATGTATACTTATGCCGCTTTTGTTCGTTCATGTCATAAGCAAAGGGGAAAAGTGGAAAAAGTGGACATGCACACATACGCATGTGCATGATTGATAAATATTTTCCACTTTCCCCTCCGCACATGCGCGGTAACATTTTCCCTTGCGTCCTTCCCCGCGCGGATTTCATACATTTGCCTGTCCCCCCTCGCCCTAGGTTGGACGAAATGTACAAAAGTATACTACTATCCAGTTGTCCCGATTTTAACCAGGCAATGTACCAAAGAGTAAAAGAACCCAGGGTCCAATGTAACAATAGAGAAAAGAATTTCCGTTTTCATTCCGGCATTTTCATTGCAAAGAGACGAAAAGTACTATCCCAACCCAGATAAATTCGATCCAACTTTTAGTCTTCAGTGGCTCTGGTACACATTCATTGTCCATTGACCCATTGTGTGTTCAAATGACACAAATCCGTTCAATGAATGGAAAACGCCTGAAAGTTGTCAATGAATTCATTGCGATGGTGTCCATTTATCATTTAAGTGTCGAAGGAAATAAAACCACACGGGTAAGGCTATTACTTTTGATCATATATTATACACACTATAGACATTTCCTAACGATGGTCAAAGGAGTATTAATTGCTTATGACGACGTATTGAGCATTGCTATTGCAACTCAACGGATATTTTCAAATTAAAACCATTCTCATATTTTATGTTCATTTTTTGAATACAAAGTTTCTACAATACAACTAACTCAAACACACAAATGAATCGCGGTCCGTCGATTCAAATAATTCAATTTTATTAGCTAAACCTTTTTCTATCCTTGAATTAGGATCGATCATCATGTGTATGTGATGGAAAGATCCTTTATTTTCTTTAGAAAAATGAATATCTTCAAGTTTTAGATCAAATATGTCGAAAGCTGCAAATGGTGTTCGAGTTTTACGTATTGAAACGGAGCAAATATCACAATCGCTCTATCTGCGGCGGAATTTCAAGTGAATGCCTTCCTTTGGCATCAGTACGTTTGAAGCTGGTGAGAACTCCAGGTCTTTTCCAATGTGCTGCTCACCAAATTCGACCCGTTCATCACAACATTCCTCTTCATTCTTTCTTTTCACCATGGATTTGATTCAATGTAATAACACTCTATAAATTGCTCTACTTGATAGCATCAAGTTTTGATACTTTTTCTTGACTATGTCAAACCCAGAAATCGAATAGATTGACATAAATCAATTTCACTGCAAAGATTCGTTTCTCTTTGTGTGCTTATTAGCTCATGGCTATTCTGGTTAAATGGAATGGCAAGCTCTGAGTTTTTAGACCGAAATTTCACCAATAGTATTATTGGTGCTACCAATTTGATAGCAAACAAAATAACCAAAACGAATATATGAAGAATCTAATTTAGTAAAAATAAAACAAAGTTTTCATTAAAAACAGTAACGTGTGTATTCATTCAGTGTATTCAATTACATAATTTGAAAGTGGAAAGTGAAAGTTTAGCTACCGAAAACCAGCTCAGAAGATTTTGATCCTACGTTAGCCGTTGCAAAAGCTTTTGCTTCTGCTGCTGTCATTGCTTTATAGTTATAACTGGATCCGGGTGTCCACTTGTTCTTCGGTGATTTTGGTTTCCTAATGCTTTGCAAGCTACCAATATCAGTAAACAAGCCATTACCTTTATCATCCAACTCAGCGTTTCCATTTTCAAAATAGTTTTTCTCAGAAAAAATCTTGGCGTTGGACGCCAGCGTAAAGCCCAGATGGAACTTGTCGATGTAGTTATTGTACACATGGAAGTAGCCATATCGCATAAGACCAGGTGCCCGAACTTCCATGTTTTCATAATGGTTATGGCAAATAGTCAAATGCGGATGACCTTCAAATGCTTTGTTATTGTCATCCTCCGGATGTCCCAGGATCAGCCCATATTTGTGGTTGCCAAAATAACAATTGCTTATTGTGGCGAAGTCAGCGCTGTCTCCGATATAGATGAGTTTATCCAGGCTGCCATCGTTTTTGCTCCACTTATGACCAATGAATGAACAGTGATCGATCCAATATTTGCTGCCGTAGTTTAGATACAGCTGAATATCGTCGTTGCCCTTGATGCCAGCCGAATGACTGAAAATCAAATTTTGGAAAATGATATTTGACGAAGTTTTGGTCGCACGCAGATGGATATTGTGTAGTGTGCGACTTCCGAAAGAACCGATGATTGACTTATTCGATCCCAGATTAACCTTGGTCTTAGTTGTGGCTGTGATATTGCTGTTAATCACCAATACCATGGGTTGGTTATCTTTAGCATTTTGTATGAGTTCCTGCAAGTTATTGATTAGCTTCACTTTGCCGCTCCAGCCGCCACTAGTACCACTCGCTTTCGCAAATCCTACCATTCCTTTTAGCCGTGACGTTGGATAAGCAGTCAAAGTTTCTGGAAGAAGAAAAAAATCTTAGTTAGTGAAGGGTTTTTCTATTATTTTGAGAAGAAAAAAATTGTGGAATCTCCGCACGGCAAATATGGGGAAAAAATAGAAAAAAAAATTAATTTTCATGTGTCTTAACCGTGCACCACGAGAAATAGACCAAGCAACACCCCAATGAAATTGAATGGAGATACTGAAGACCTCATATTGGAGTAAATTATGTTTCACGATGTAGGCTGCGGAAAAATTTGATTAAATGTTTGGTTTCCTTCTGCCTTTAAATACCAAAATATCGCATGAAATAACTGAAAAGAATGTAAGGTTTCTAATTAAGCAGAACAAACATAATATTTTCAAACACGTACGAATGATAATGATCAATAAATAAAATAACGAGCGGGACAATAGGGTAGATTTTTTTCAGTTGTGAAATTTGTCAAAAATTTCAATATCTTTATGAGAGGTTCCCTTGAATACGCCACATGTAAAATTCAAAAATGACCAAAAAACAAACGTATGCGCGTTCTGCTGCTACGTACCCGAGATAGTCATTGTTTTCACTGTTCTTCGCTTTTCAGCCGTCACCAGAGCGATGAACGTTGAACTAATAAAAACAAAATTGAAAATTCCATAACGAGAAATTCAATTAGAGCTGGATTCGAAAACATTCCAATCGCATGTCATTCAACAGATTTTTCAACAGAGAACGTATTTCAGTCGTTAATTAATAGTTCACTGAAATATTATTTCCGTAATTAACAGAGGTGTCCAATTCAATTGAATTTCTCCATATTGTCTTTTTTTCATTAATTTTCCATTGTTAAATGTGAATATCGCCCACGCACAAGTTGTCTTTAGAGAAAAAATTGTTTCAGTTGTGCTGTATAATATACAGTGTATATTCGTTTTGCTTATTTTGTTTTTCTTCTTCTATAAAATAAGTAGTACCAATTCTATTGGTGAGAAAGTAAAATTTAAACTAATAAACTGTGGCAGAACATTCTATCTATAGCAAACCTAATGGTGACAAAGTCGTTCAAACTTGAAATACATGTTGGAATTCGTTTAAAATGTAAATTCCGCAGAAGCTACAAGAATCAATATTTCTCTGGCAGTTACGAGAGCTCGCGTTGGGCAACCGGTCTATCAACTCTATACAAATTTATTGGCGATTTCTGTGCAAAATCTCAATTTTATTTGAACAAAGTTAAACAAAAAACGAAAAACGTTATTGTCTCCAACAGAAGTATTCATTTGAACGAATTTTTAGTAGTCCAAAGCGATAAAAAACGAAATTTCGGTCTAAAACTCAAAGTAGAATAGCCATTAATTAATAAGCACAAAAAGAAAACCGAATATTGGCAGTGAAATAGATTCATGTCAATATATTATTTGACTCGGAGCAAAAGAAACTCGATCAAATAATAATCGTGATCGCCTCAGAGCATTGTAATTACCATTAGGTTAATGTGGCAATTTGAAGTGATTTGATTCAATGAAATTTTCAAGCTACAAATTGTAACAAAATCATTCGCTAGTACAATGAAATTGCTTTACATTTCTTCTTCTACTTTGCTTTCCCCTTTTTCCTCTTTTTCGTCTTTCAAATGTTTTTCTGCTTTTTCCATTCCACTTTGTGAAGACAAAATTATTTGGTGTTTCTCTTTTTGCTTCGTACATGGTTTTTCTTCGTACTTGGCTCCGTAGTTTCTTCGTTAGGTACAAAGTTTGCTATTTTTCATGCTTACTTACTTTTGAACTATTACTTGATACTTTTTTTTCCATTTTTTCTTCGAAAAAGTTTTTTTCCACCACCTTTTCGCATATTCTTCTGCCAAAGGTCTCAATTCAGTGAATATGATTCGCATCTTCATTCATTCTAAAAAGCAGCCAATTCAATACCATTGACCAGCTGATTATGTAGTTATGTTCCAGTAGCGAAACCGTAAAATTGCTTCTCACGAAACCTGTGGAGCGTTCATACCGTATTAAATTGATTGAACTAAAGTAGAAGCCGTAACCGATGGAGCAGAGTACAGCAGAGAGCATCTTAAACCTATCGATACGGATAAAGTGTGAATCGAATGGTGGGGACTGGTTGTGAATATACGGAATTGGCCGAAACAAAAGCATGTGCATAAAAGTAAACATGATCGGAACCTTTGACGCCGTCATCACAACCGCTGCTGTTCCGTTGCTATGTGTGCAAACACAGTGTACAGACACGCGACAAATCGCAAACCCAAACATAAGCATACGTCTCTATGTGTATAGTAGCAGCGAAGCGGTCGCGAGTGAGAGACAGAGACAAAGTGTCTGTGTATGGCAAATTGTAGCAAAAAAAAACTTTGATTTCCGAAAAGGTAAAAGTGAATGCGCGCACACTGGAGCCAACACAGACGCATACGACAACGAAGTCTATTGCAGTAGGCAGCACGTCGATTTATTCGATTCATTCGGCTGAAAATCAAGTTTGAAGTTTATTAGTCGTCTAGTTTTACTTTCATTTGCTTGATTTCATTCGTTTAGTTGTCGTCGTGTTCGTTTGGTGTGTTGTCAAACGTTGATTTAACAAGTTTCGGTTTTTCGTTTTTTTTTCTTTCGGCTAAAGTAAAACAGTGGGTGACAACAAGAGTTAGAAAGTTGCATTGTGCATCGAATTTCGACCGTGTTCCAGTTACGTGTTGTCGTAGGTCAAAAGCGCATTGTGAATGTTTAAATATCGATTTTTTTGTGATTTGCTTCATGTGCATTTCGGTGTGATTTTCATAAAGTGTTAATTTGTGTCGAGTGCCGAGATAATGAAGATTCCCATAAATAAACTGACTAAACTACTGAAATCAATTCCACAATGGTCCACAACAATGACTGTGACCGTTTGCCTTTATATTCTGTTTATTATGGTCGTGCTGAGCATTTCGTTTCCATTAAAATCGCATAAAACCAAAGTGGAAACCATTGTAAATGAGCGTGCGAATGGTATCGCTGATTTGGATAATGATGCTAACGGCTTGGGACAAAACGAACAAAAACTATTGCAACGAGCTCGCGACCTATCCACCGCCAACAATCGCACCGACATTCTACGCGATGCATTCCAAAAGTAAGTGTTTCGTGTTGTTGCTGCTTTTTTTCGCTATTGATTTTGCGGCAGACAAGACGAGATGCAGCCACGGGAGAAAGTAAACACGCGCGGAGATAGATTGAAAAGAAAGAACGCAAGATAATGCACCGCAAGCATGCATACATACTGTGGATTGTTATGCAAAACGCAGAGATGGGAGCATTGACATTGTGATCGAGATTTGGACCTTTTTCCATGTTTTGATTGAGTTGATGTGATTGATATGGGCCAAATGTTGTCTTTTTGAACATTTTTCTCTCCTTTATTGCGATGTTTTGCTCTATTTTCGGTGAAACAGTCATTTTCGAGCAAAATAGAAGGAAAAATGTTGAAGAAAAAGAAAATTTTTCTTTTTTAAGATAATGTTTTTTTCATTTGTTCTCGTTTTCTTCTGAAATGAAATTTTCTTTCCTTCACGAACTAATTTTGTCACATTTTGATTTAGAATTTTTTTGCTTTAGTAGCTTAACATTTCATTACCTAACGTAGGCGTTAAGAAGTTTTTCTGTACTAAAAAACATGTGTTTGCTAACCATTTACTTCAAATGTATTCTTTTCCCAGGGCTGATTTAGACGGCGATGCTTTGTTGTCTCTCCAAGAGCTGGCACGCTACATAAATCGTCGCATTCGTGAGCATATCGATGCGTCCATTCGAAATAATCCAATATTATTTTCCGAAATCGATCAATCGCCTCGAAATGGTCTCATCACTTGGGATGAATATTACGTGTACTTCCTGAAATCGTTGGGCTACGACGATGCATTCATTCGTCAAGTCGACCGAAAGCGCAATTCGAATTTGGATCGAAAAACCAAGGAATTGCTAATGCGTGACAAAGCTCTGTGGAATGAGGCAGCTCGAAGTGATTCGTACACTTTGACTTTGGATGAATTTTTGGCTTTTAAACATCCAGGTAATTTAATTTTACTCACTTACTTTTCCTGTACTGGAACACAGACTTTTGTACTTTAGAGTGAAGCTTGTGCAAAGAGAACAGGCATACTGTTGCAGTGCACAGACATTTCTTGTTCAAATCTTGAAAAAAATCATTCTTTAATACAATATGTAATATTGAATAAATCAACTTCGAATCCATTTTTTTCCCCATTTCAGAATCAAGTGCCGCCAATTTGCTAAGCTTAGTCGATGATTTACTGCGTCAATTTGACGAGGATGGTGACGATCACTTGACAATGGATGAGTTTTCAAATGTGGTGGCCGATGACTTGGATGACAAGTGGCGTCAGTACATGATTGAAAAGAATACATTCCAGCGACAGGAGGAATTCAAGCGATTGATTGACAAAAATCACGATGGTGTGGCCGATCGTTCTGAATTATTGTCTTATGTCAGTCCAAAACATCCACGACACGCTCTTCAAGAAGCGGCTATTTTGTTCAACATCGCCGATCGGAACAAAGACCAGCGACTTTCGTTGCGTGAGGTAATTGACTTTAGTTCACTTTTTTGCTCTCAGTTTAAATTTAATTGGATTTTTCGATACTTCTGACCGATGATTGATATTTGACCAGAAAAATTTAATAGAAATCACTTCATTTGGAAAGATTAAGAAGAAAATTAGCAAGGGAAACATTTTTGGTTTGGAAAATTACGATTCCACTCTTTCAACTTCTTGGATTCTCTCAATATTTCTTTGGTCATGATCAGCCATTAATCATGAATAAATTAAAAGAATGAGCTATGCATTTCCGCTTCCCTTTTCAACCAGTTTATTTTTCTCTCTCTTTTCAAACAGTTGGAAGAAGCCGGTAACGTGTTCATGGCCTCACGAATGATCAACTCAGCTCAAACATTTCACGATGATTTCCGATAGACTATCGACGATCGTGTACCAAAGTGTTCAATTTTATATATATTACGTAGTAGTTTGTTAGCTGCCGATGCTATCAAATGCATTCCGCCCGTCTTGACTATCGACTTTTGAAACGCATAGACTCTCACTTTAAATACACGGAATTGGAATTTTACAATCGTTCTTCTCACCAAATACTCGACAATTGCATTTAGACATTAAGATACGTATTTTATATGAAAATTTACATATTTAAAATAAATGAATCGAAATTAGGAACACGTCAACTTCTTTTTCTTTGGTCCGCTGGTTTTATGTTTAAAAGTGATTGAATTTTTTCATCTAAATAATTCAATTCCAATTGAGTATTCATATAGTTTCCAAATTTCTTTTGCATAACATAGTCAAATCGAAATTTTATGGTTTTTATTAGTTAAAGCTGCTTTGGCATTTCTCAACGTGAGTCATTTCTACAAATAGAGAAATTTCGCGATGAAAATAGTAAGAAAAAAACACCGAAAGAATATGCAAACAACAAACAAATCGTCAATCATCCAATCGAATTGTCTAAACTTGAACATAAGCTAAAAAGTGGTTCTCGTCAAAACTAAGCCTTTTCAAGTGAGTTCAATCAATGCCATCTAGTGAGAAAGTCAACTACGTTGCTTTCAATGTTGTTTGCATCGAATTGAGTTTTGTCAAAGCGACAAGAAATCAAACACAGAAGAAAATGAAACAAATGTTTAATTTATGGAGAAAAGAGGTTAGGCGTTACAAAAAATGAAAATTTTCCAAGAATAAAAAAAAAATCCTTAGAAAAAATGCCAGAATCTCAGGAATGTTCAAAAAAAAATTTCATTTTTTCAACCGATTATTTCGATTCCAATTGACGAAACACCAGAAACTGATCCCATTTTAGACGTTTGACATTCGACACAATCCATTACAACGCAGTCATAGCATGTCACACATAACCAAATCAAAACAATGTACAAAGACGACGCAAAAACGTCACTTGCTCAATTTCACACTGGCGAAAAATTGTCCGTGAATTTTACTGCACAAATGTTAGGCAACCAAAAAAAAGGCACCCAATCCATTACATAGATGAATTGTGTATGAAAAACAAAAGTGACTAATTAAATAAACAAAATTTTTAAGTTGTGTATGGAAAACAGTGCCCGGTTTTCCATTCGTAACTCAATTCGTACGCACATACAAAGCACATGTATGTAAGGCACAAAGATAGAAAACAAATAAGTGTACCAAACAAGTAACAAACACACAAAGAAAACGCGAAACGGTAAATTATTACGTTTCAAATGTCCATTTTGGTTTCGTTGTGTCACATTAAATTCGAAATCGATTTGTCGACGGCCATGGACGGCACAAAGAGTAAGTACCAAGTTGCGCGTTGTCGTGTCAATGCTGTAACAGTAGAAAAGCAACAGAACAAAAATGTTTTTCTCTTGTGATTTAGATAGTAAAGGAGCGGCTGCAGTTTGTGTGCGACAAAATCCACACAACGATCAGCGTCAACCGCGCAAAATTACGGTGGAAAATTTTACAAACAAACAAAATGACGGCGATGCTAAAGATGGAAAAGGTATTTTACCGTCCGGATCACGTGAAACAACACCAATGACTGATGACACCGCAAAAACCACCATCGATGAAAAAGGCTTTTTCTACGGCAATCCATTCGTTGAAGTCACTAAAGGCATCATGCATATTTATAAGAAAAAGTAAGTGTTATGATTCAGGAAGAAAAATACATTTTTCGGCTGTGAGTTTTTAGGCAACAATTGAAAATTGTTTGACAACAACAGACAGAAAAAACAATCCATTGAAGAAAATTGAAGTGTCGCAGCAGAATGTGATGCAGTATGATGAAATATTTTTTTTTTTTTTTGATTATTCTTTCCGCTTTTTTGCAGTGAACGCACTGAAATCACCGACGATGTATCGAAAATGCTGTGTTTATTGGCCGTTCCAGCTACACTCAATTGCCATGATATTCTGAACTTCGTTGCACCGTGTCATTCGACCATTCAACACATTCGCATCATTCGTGACGGAACACCAAATCAATTCATGGTTTTACTTGAGTAAGTGCCGATGGATATTTTGAGGTTATTCAAAAACAACAAAAGAATTGTTGATAATTTTTTTTTAGACTTTTTCGACTTTTTCACTGTTTTATGTGTTTATCTGTTAAAAAAGACTGTCACTTGCATTATTTTTCTGTGGTCTGTACTGAAAAATGGTCACAATTTTCATATTTTTTTATTTTTTCAATCAAAAATGAATCGATTTCAGAACATTGGTTAAAATATTGTCACCATAGCCACAGCTTTGCATTGATATAGCGAGCGGCTTCATTAAAATCTAAGTGATTGAGTATTTTTTAGCTTTGTCCAATTGAAATTCCTTCTAGCTGTTGGCTCAGTAGCACTTAATGGTCAATTTTTAGTCGAATTTTCTTCATATTTCCAATTCCTTCTTCTATTAAGTTGTTTTTGGCCAGAGTTTTATCCTTTCTCTTGACATTTTCCTTAATTCAAACTCTCATCCATTTATTTGAAAAAAAAAAATCTAATATTTCTTATTATTTCACGTTTTTATCTCCATTTTTCTCTTTTGTGTGTGCCTTACTTACTTTTCCTCCCTCTTCCCATAGATTCCGTTCGACCGAATCGGCTGTGGAATTCTACAAAACGTTCAACGGTATCCCGTACAACTCACTAGAGCCCGATTCAATGTGCCACGCAGTCTGGGTATCGAATGTGGTTTGGGGTGAGGATGGTTTGCCACCGTTTGGTCACACAGAGCTGCCTACATGTCCGGTTTGCCTCGAGCGAATGGATGAAAGTGTCGATGGTGTTCTCACAATCCTATGCAATCATGCGTTCCACTCCAACTGCTTAATCAAATGGGGTGATTCCACATGTCCTGTGTGTCGTTGTGTGCAAACACCGGAGTTGGCCGAGAGTTCGGTCTGTATGGAATGTGAAGGTATTGAAGCTCTCTGGATTTGTTTAATTTGCGGTCATGTTGGTTGTGGTCGATACCAAGGTGGTCATGCCGCCTCGCATTACAAAGCCACCAATCACACTTACGCACTGCAATTGGGTACAAATCGCGTTTGGGATTATGCTGGTGATAATTTTGTACATCGTTTGCTGCAGAGCAAAGGCGACGGTAAATTGGTGGCACACACACAAAGTCCAACCGCTGAAAGTGCCGATAGCGATGAAAAAATCGATTCACTTCAACTCGAATTCACATACGCCTTAACATCTCAACTACAAAAACAGCGCGAATACTACGAAGAGAAGCTGGCCCGACTGGAGAGCAAAATTGACTCCGATTCAAAGCAATTTCAAGTGAAAATCGATACGATCATCACCGATTTTACCGATTTGGACATGAAGTACACAACGTTACGCAAGGAGAAGACAAATGTTGAGAGGAAATTGGCACAATTGAACTCAAAGTGAGTCGAATGTCTTTGGTTCTAGTATGAACGAAGTGTTCATTGGAAAAAAAAAATCACTTTTCAATGAAGTTTCTTTCAATTTTCATAGAATTTTCGGTCAATTCTAATGCAAACTACCTTCATTTCCAGGTTAACCAACTGCCAAAAAGAGCTAAACGACGAACGAGAAATGATAAAAGCCCTGCGATCAAATCAAAGTGGTTGGGAAACAAAGTGTTCACAACTGGACGAAAAGTTTAAAAAGTACCAAACGGAAAAAGAGGCGGAAATTATCGACTTGAAGGATGAAATCCGTGATCTCATGTTTTATATGGAGGCTCAAAATGTTGTTGCCAATTCAAAGTTGAAAGATGAAATCGACGACACTTCGATCATCATTTCACCACCGTCCACATCTGGTGCATCTGGTTCGAAAAAGGGACGACAGAAGAAGAAGTAATCCAAACAGCTCGTCCAAAATTAGCTTTACAACATTCATTGTGATCATTTTCCCCTGCTTTTGAAGTCAGCCAACAAATATTTATTGCTTAATTGGTTGTTTTGTTTATTCTCATGAAAAATTATTTACACGGAAAATCGATAGAAAAATAAATTCTCATTAAAAATTGTTCAATTGTAATCAGCTGGAGTTGAATAAAGTATACAATACACTCAAACACACGTACACACGATTGTTGACTTGCTGTTTGTTGACACTTGGTGGTTTTGGCGCGAATGTCAGCGCAAATGTCATTTGATCAGCTGTTCGTAGTTTTTATTCAGTGTTTGCATGACTTTGTGTTGAAATTTCACGTTTTGTGAATAAATTGAGCATTTTTGCATGCGGAATACGGGTTGACGACGATGAATGGAATTATTTGGAAGAAAAATTAAGGTATGTATTGAAAAATGTGCAGTTTCATTGGAAAAATAGGAAGTTTTGAGCGAAGAATGTGAAATTCCGGTTGGTAATGGTAAACTCTATATAGAAAAAAGTGGTTGCATTTGTAATGATTGTGGTATTGTTTCAAAAAGAGAATTTTTCATTGAAACATATCAATTGTCCATTGATTGATGTGCATTTTTTACTAGAATTTTTCCATTTAAATTCGTGATTTGCCATCGCAAAAAGACACTTTGAAACAACTGAGCAAAGACACAAACTGTGGACGACACAATTTTTTTTTTCAATGACAAGCAATTACAAACATTTAAACAAACACAAACCATTTTTCGAGCTAACAACAACTTTTTTCTACAAACGAGCAAAAATGTTTTTCTTCCATGATTTTTTTGAAAAAATAAATCAAAATCTTTTTTGACCACTAGATAAGATTGAACTATTTGTATGTTGCTGTGGCAATTGAAGTACTGCGCTCTTTCGACTGAAATTAAATCATGAACAATCCAATCCTAGAAGACAAAGGCTATTTCTACGGTGTCTATTTGCTATGCAGCCAGAGTAACAATCCAAAATTTCGCAATAGAAACTACATTGGCTTCACGGTGAATCCAAACCGACGGATAATTCAACACAATCGTGGTAATATGTATGGCGGTGCCAAGAAGACTAGTGACAAAGGACCATGGCAAATGGTTTTGATCGTTCATGGATTTCCGAATAACATTTCGGCGTTGCGAGTAAGACAGTGAATAATTTTATTTTTCTTCGAATATTTATGTTGTTTTCCCAACAACAAAATTGACCTACATGCCATGGAATTGGCTGCTTCACAATTTTAACTCTAATCAACATTTCATCAATTTATTTAATCTTCCACAGTTTGAATGGGCCTGGCAACAGCCGAAAGAATCCCGTCGATTGCGGCACATGGATGATTTGAAACGTCGAAAGGCGGGCGAAAGTTTTTTTGATCTCAATTTCCGTATCCTGACTGAAATGCTGCGAACACCGCCTTGGAATCGACTTGCTCTGACGGTACGATGGTTGGCTCCAGAGTTTGCTCGTGATTTTCCGGTGAGTGACTTTTTATTCGCATTTCCTTCTTCTGTGAATTCTGCTTCATTCAAACCAATTTGCATTTAGAGCATTGTTTAGTCTCTTCTGTCTACACCCAATTGTTTATTCGCTGATTTAGAACATTACTTTTTCTCTTAATGATCAAGGTTACATCTGTCTTTAGCTAAAAAAAGATAGTCATTCAAACCCAAGTTCAAGTTTTCATTCTAAATAAACTTCAAGCGATTTCTTTCGCTCAACTGACATTTGAGTTTGAATACGTTCAAAATGAGCCAATCGAATGGGTAATTATAGTTCCAGCGCGAGTAATTGCTCATTCAATTAACATCAAAATTACAATTTAATTGATTCTCTTCTACTACCTAAAAAGACTTGTTCATTACGACTTTCATTCTGTCAAAAATGTCACGTTAAAAACACTAAAAGTCTTCATTTTACCCTTTCACTTGATTTTCCAGATGACCAAATTGCCGCCGAGCCAAATATTAATTCGACAAGGTCACATCGTGTTGAAGAAGCCAAAAAAGGCACTTTCTTGTGCTGATGATGAACTAGGATCTCAAAGCCCAGTCAAATGCATTATTTGTGATAGATTCATAGGTGAAACCGACCGTGTCAACTGTACAAATTCGGATTGTACTCTGGCCACCCATTTGATATGCTTGAGTAAACGATTTCTGGAGCCAGGCGAATATGTACCAATCAATGGATCATGTCCAAAATGCCATCAAATGATGCTCTGGAGCGACGTGGTGCGCAAATTTAAAGGCTACTCCGATGCCATTGTTCTAGCCGATGACGATCAATCGTGATTTTACACACCTTCTTCGTACTTAATTCTATTTTTCAACGAGTTTATGCCGACCGTATGGATCTTTTGGACAAAATCACACTTCAAGAATAAAGAGGTGTGAACGGCACTCCCATCACAATATTACAAACTCATACATCTAATAGTTAAGAACATTTTTCAGACTTTTGCATGTGTTTCAAAAAAAGTTCAATGAATGTTGTTCAATATATTATGATAATCACTGAAATAAATAAAATGCCCAAAATAAACTCAAACAGTGTTTTGGGTTTGATTCGTATTGTAATTCAATGCCATTCGAAAGCAATAAAATCCATGATGATCCGTGTTAACCTGTGGAAATTGTCACATTTCCAGCTTTCAATGAAAACTGATGAGGTCGTAATTCAGTCAATCGAACATTGTTCGGCCCAACAAAAACCATTGACAACAGCCCATTGCAGAAGCCCAGAATATTTGAAAAATTTCAAAAAAATAATTAATTCAAATGAAAATCCAATTCGATCAAAAAACGTCGATTTAAATTCGAAAAATAAAACTTCCAAAATCATTCTTGTGTGGCAAAATGTGTTGATGAAGTTGTTCAAGAGAAATGATTATAATCACATATATATATAAATGATAATAAATCATACGATACTATTATTATCATTGATCGGCTCATTTTCATTTTCTTTCTCGTCATTTATCGAAACGTATGGGTATTTGGTGATGAATGAGCACGAAGGTGAAATCTGAGTCAGTCAATGGCAATAAAGCCATAGAACACAATGTGTCGATAAATCACTGGATGGCTGAGCTGTTTTATGTGACGCCACACTTTCGACTTCGTCGTTTTTTCCGTGTGTAAAAAAAAACAAACAAAAATGCGAGAAATCGATCGATTGCCTTTTGTTATTCTAAAATTGAGTCGTTAAGCCAGAAAGAAAGTCTGGGAAGACGAGACATTTTAATTGTTTGCTCTTAATGAGCGGCTCCAGCATTCATGATAGTAAGATACAAGTCTTTGATGGCACTTTAACTGACCATTTCACGATGGATCATCGTCGATGGTTCTTGAACGAAATTTCATTATCCGTGAAAACTGATTACTCTTCTTTGTGATCACTTTCCACCTTGTTCTTCTACTTTGCCCAGCAATAATTTTCGATTTTTGCACAAAATAAACTCCGAGCCATTTCATTAAATCGCCAAGTGCTTTTGTGGTCGTTCCAGAGGTGTTTTGCCATTTTCCCGCCGTTTATCGAGTTGCAATGAATGGGCAACGCTGATTTTATGCTTTCAAACACTTGGCACTGTCACGCGGAAGTCAAAACGCTGCGACACGGCTCATTTTCAAAACAGAAATGTGGAACACTAAGTGATTTGCATAGAAACTCGCACATCGCGCGTTTTGTTTATTCCAATCTTCTTATGTTTTCTCTTTCTTTTCATTCATATTCATGGACGAGCGCGCACGCCACTCGCACCGATTTTTGGCACGCGAAACGCATTGTACTTTATGAACAGTGCGCACACATGACAAACCCTATGAAGTTACCGAATACTAACGAATGTACGCCAAGTGAAAGACTGCGAGAATCCAATTGCGAAGCAACCTACAGTTGAAACACGCAGAATGACGTCGATTTACAATTTTTTCTTGCTTCATTTGAGTTTCGGTATAAATTTCTGCTTGTAAGATTTCGACTCGTTGAAATTGTAAATTGAAAATAGTGAACGTTTTTTGCGATCGTAGTCTTTCAACGGCCAGAGTTAGTACAATAAGTTGGTGGAATTTCGATGACAATCGGTTTTCGATGATGATTCAGTTTCATTTTTGGAGAATACTTTACGAAAAAAGCATTGCTATACTATAGCATTATTGCTCCAAACAAATTCACTCAAGTATTCATACTGTGAAACTCGTAGTATGTATGAATTGAATTCAATTTGTTAGAATGGTTTCTGTTACGTTTCTTACTTTCTTTCCATAATCTTTCTCTTCTGATTCAATAGCTTTGTTGTAATCAAAACGAAAGAAGATTATTAAACAACGAATCGGGGAACAAACAAAGAATATTGGAGAGTCAAGTGATCGAAGTCGATCGATCTACTCCTTTATTTTTAATCATAGCTGATTATAATCTCTTGACATATTTGGTTGGTGTTTTGACTGAATTTTATTCAGTCACTAACAGCAAATTGGCAACTCTTTGGAATTTGTCACGAACCAATTTTGGCTCGAACCATTTTCGACAGTCTGTTGGGAAGTTTCAGACGTTGATGAGATCAACGTCTCAATATTGATATTGATCAATAATAGTCTGAATTATAAGTTTTATTGAAACAGTTAGTCAACGGTCGCCATTTTGAACGTGTATTTTTGCACATCAAAGAGAATGGCAGTCTTCCGTCGATGGGCTAATAATTGAAGCTCAAATGTTTAATCACAGCGATTGAAAGCTTAGCGAATCATTCGATGACTAAAAACTGAACTCGAAGTCACATTCTTTTTGGAAAAAAGCTAAAAATAGCTTAAAATCAGCTTCACCCATTCTGTTTTGTTTTTTTTTTTAATTTCTTTCTTTTAAAGATTTTACCTGTCTCCTCTCAGATTTCATTCTAAAGATTCTAAACAACAACAAACTCGAACTTGAAACGCAGCTTGATTGAAAGTTGATTAGTCCATTATGAATAATATCATTCATTAAATATGAATCAACACGTTTGTTCTAATTTCAACAAAACCAATTTTTCTTTCATATTTTTTCTTATTGGTTTTTTTTAAATCAGTTCTTTGTTGAAAATGAATTGGAATTCAAGTTTGAACTAGATCAATCTACGTTTAATACCAATTGAATCTTAAAACGCTAAGAATGAGTTTCATGAATTGAAAGCGTCGATCGGATATGAAATTAACCCTCAACTGCATGATTTTTTCCCAGGACTGGGAGTACTGGTATTTGGTTGATTTTTGGCCATAGATAACGAAAAAAATATTCATAATCCTAGATTTCCCATGGTTTAGTCAGGAAATGCGATAGAAATAAGTCAGAGAACAATGAAATCCATTGTTTAAAAGTGTCAAAAATATGTCTAATTTGGAAAGCGAATAATTTATTTTGTCAAATTTTCGTTTTCGTGCACATTTTTGTTTATAACTCACCAATCGTACGGCATAGACAAATGACGCCAAAGACAAAAATAAAGAAAAAACATTGACAAATAAAAATTCCCCTTGAAGCAATGTCATCCGCCGTACGATTCACATTATACAGGTGTTTAAATGATGCCCGCCAAAAGGCGGGCTTATGCAGTTGAGGGTTAAGTTCAGTTCTAATAGAAATCGAGTAAAAAGGCAGTTTCAATTGATATTTCCATACAGGCTATGAATGACATGGTATACCATATGATATCATACGTATGATAACAATTGTTCTATACAAACAATGATTACAATTACTTCGACAACTACTGTTCGGTGTTCGCATTCGAATCGAAAATCAATCTCATGTCCGAGTTCATCCAAAAAATTGAAATCGAAAAGATCGAAATCATCTTCAATTTCAGCTCTGAACAGACTACTCGCGACTTCAACTTCTAGCGTCATCTTCAACATTTTACCATCATCTCCAACTTCTCTGCTTCAAAGAATTGCATCGTTTCAATTACCAAAATACTTGCCTCAATTCGGTCAGTACGTATAATTTTCACCTCGTTCTTCATGTCCATCAAGATAAAATCAAAATAAAAGTCGTCATTTTATTCAACATATCAAAAAGGTGTTTATTTCGAAGTACATTCATAGTTGAAATGTTTAGCACTTAAACATATTTGTCTGTTATTTCTAAGAGAAATTAAAGAACACCTATCTCTCGTTTTGGTTGGATGCGGTTGCACTTGACTATGAGTGTTAATTAGACACCCATTACAGTTGTGAGTTTTGTTATTCTTCTATTTTCTTCTTTTTCTATCTCTCTTACGTGATAAATTGTTTAAATTTGGCTTTTCAGTTGCACTGAATGGATTTCGAACAAAAATTTTCTTTTCTGACTTGACTACGTTTTGTGTGTGTATATCTCTTCTTCATCATCGTCTTGACTTAAATTCTAAAGCAATTGCATTTGCTATGGTCAATAGTTTCATTTGTAATAATTAAAAAAAAACAGAAACCGAAACAAAATCTTATTAAACCAATAACACTTCTTCTTCAGCTAAATCAGATTCTATGCTAGGTCTATTTACAGTACAAAAAGAGATACAAATCATTTGTTGTAGTTGTGTGTGTGTGTTTTTTTTTCTCTTCAATTCTTGTGTATGGTGTGTTTGGACAAACCGTCAAAACCGTTACGCTTGCTCATTGCGGTGTAAAGCGAAACGCAAAACAGCGGAAACACACAGTTTATATGCGATACAAACAATTCTACGCGATGCTGGTTCGCTAACCCAATTTTTTTCCTCTGCAGAAGATATTAAAAGAACAACAACCACATTGTGCAATCGTCGCGTAATATTTGCATCTGTTAACGATGAGTTCAGTAAACGTAAATGTAAAGAACATATCAGTGAGTGAATGCAATTTAGTGTCATTGAGAAGCGAGCTTAAGTGATTTGGAATGGAAATTTAATGGAATTTCATTTTTTTCGAACCGTTTTTGCATTGTTTTGTGAGAAGAAGACGTTTTTTTCAATTATTTTCATATTTAGACATGACATTCGGGTCTTTACTACGATTTTCCCCTGGATTTTCTTATGATCGTTATCTCTGTCATGGCAGAATAATAAAGTTTAATATCGCACAGACGTTTAAATGACAATAAAGATATTCAAAACGATAGCAAAGATAATTTGAAACAAACTTCTTCCTCGTCCACCGTTTGAATTTGCATTTGTTCAACCGTTGATGGTAAGTCTTCGGTGCTATTCCCATTCCGAAACACAGACAACAAATAGAAAATGAAACGACGTCAGATTTCTAATGAAATATTGACATATGTCATGCATATTTCTTCCATTGGCATGTCCCAAATTTGGTTTTGGCCAAACATGCGTCGCGTTGTATACGAAATCCGTTCCACTCGAACGCTGTTATCTATTTTTGTTACAATAGCTCCTCCATTATGTATTGATTATTTGGTCATTACTGTGAGCGCTTAACCAAAAAAAAAAGATGTGCCAAAACAAAAACACATACAAAGAGAAAGTAAGAATGATTTTTGTTTCTCTTTGTCGCTGCGTGTGCTCAATGGTTTTCGGCCGTTCTGCATCGCAAGAATATTACCAGATCACGGATTTAATGTGTCATCATGACAATGTTTTTCGAAGCATCAACATTTTTTCTGAACTAAAACAACCGTAAAAACACTGTGTCGCGAAGACACAATGCGAACAATTCGATTCAACGTGATATCATGCACGTTTCATACATTAATCGAACGAATTTCAATAGGCCGCACGTACAATTTTAATGACATTCTTGTATTTCGGCCTAATGGCCGTCCATTCTTGGATTTCACTATTTTTCGGAACAGAGGCCTTGATTTGTTTTTTTCATCAAATTCATTCAGGGAATGAAGACAAAAAATTGAAGAGTGGATTGAATTGTATTTGGATACTTTTTCGAGACAACAACATTTATTACATAGATTTGTAGAGAGAATGATTTCATAGTTTTTTGAAGAAAGCAAAAAAAAATTGTCTTAAATATTTCCAGTTTTCGAAAGAAAACAAGACATTGATTGACCATGAATTTCACAGCAAACCAAGTTTTCTTCAATTTTCGATGAAAATCAAAAGTTTTACGTCGACTTTTAAGACAAATTAGAGCAAAATCATTTTTCCAGTAATAACAAACATTTTTTTCATATGATAACGAGATCTTTTTGTAGTATCTTGGGATTCTACTGTCAATTTGACATGGTATTTGACGTGAGACGTGTCTTTACTTTCAAAAAAACTAAAATGGATCAACAACAAACTCAATCTGAACTTGGTGAATCGTAAACGTTACAAAAGATCATTGAAGCGGAATTAATCGTTGAAGTGAATCAAAGGCTGATCTTAAGGCCGAAGAGTATCATATGAATCAATAGTTAATCTCGACATGAATCCAAAACGTGATCTGTGCAAAAACAAAACTGACATTTGATCTTCAAGAAGAAAGAAGTGATATTTGGTGGCAATGAAAGGTATAAAAGTCCAGAAAATCAATGAAAGCAGAGAAAAGTGAAAGAAAATTGTGAAAGAATATATAAATGTCTCAACGCAAGAATGAAGAAGAGACCAAAAAGCATTAAAACAGCGATTAAATGACAGAAATCAATGAATAAAACCGAAAAAATCAAAAACTGTATGAATAAAAGAGCACACAAAGTCGATAAAAAGGTAAAAAAAATGAATAAAACTATTGGAAAAACAACAAATTGAAGAAACAAAATGAATAAAACTATCGAAGACAAACAAATCGAAGAAAATAAGAGAATACAACGACCGACGAATTGAAAAGGCATCGAAATAGCGAAGAAGACATTTTTTTCTCAAAGAGAAATCGCTAAACTTTGTCACTGCTCGTTTTCGTCTGAGTCACTATGTTCTTTTTGTTGAACTTTGATGATGGTATTTCCCAGTCTAGAAATGTCTTATCCCATTTTCTATTCCGCGTGCATCGTGGTTCTCTTTTCAATTTACAACCACAGTTGATTCGAAACACAATCATTTGATTTAACATGCAATCTTTTGATTGGAAATGCATCGCGCGTGTTATTCGATTAAAATGCAAATTCACACCTGATGGCTAAGGCAGTATGCCAGTTTCAACGGTTCTTTTTAACTATTATGTAAATTGGTTGATAGCTCACGATGAGCATTGGGCTTCGTTCCACATGACCATAAATCGCATTCACACACCTCGAATACCGTTTCGATTTAACAGATCGTCGACACGGGTTTTATTGGATTTAAAGATAAAATAACCAGAATTTTATGTTATGCTAGAAGTTTGTCGGTTTTTTATGTTTGTTTTCTTTAAAATTCAAGATTTTTTTGTGAATTTCAACGTTTTTTCGGCATTTGAAACTGTATTTTTCTTGATAATCATTGGGTTAGCGTCATCACACTTGAGACTTCTTTTCGATTGATTTTTTTCACTGCGTTTGTCAGCAACACACCAAATGAAGAGCTATTAATTTTTTCAAACGTTTCTTCGTTGTTTTCACTGGTTTGTTCTCACTTCAACGTTCAATTAGTATTCAAATAAATAAATAAATAGCACTAAAAACTAGCTTAAACCGATGACTCGGATTACTTCGCATCAAAAATATCTCCAGCGTCCAGGTCATCGAGACCGCCGCCAAATCCATAGTCATCGTAATCGGCGTTGGGCGGTACAAATGCACCGTTAAACCATCCAGCCACCCGTTCTTCCAGGTTCATCTGCACCGCAATGCCATAAATCAGTCGCATGACTAACAGTCGCAAGAAATTCGGTGGGTTTGTCTCACGCAATTCCAATTCTTTGGCGACCGGTGATTTGCTCACTCCCATCGTTTTGCTCTGGAATTTTTTGCTACGTTTACGCTTTGCATCACAATCAGCGGCTAAGATCAACACTATCACTAGCAACACTGCAACTTTTCGGAATGTTGGCGACATTTTGGCACACTTCCCAGTATAAATCGTTTGAATGAAAATTTAGTTGAATTTCAGTAGGTTGATTGCAGAATGTTCAATCAATTGGCTTTTCTTGCTGATAAAATTGGGTTTTTCCAATCTTCCAGAGCCGTTCGGTTTCTGAACACTTTTTTTAGTAATTTTTCATAAAAAATTTGTTTCTTTAAATTAAACTTTTTTATCAAATAATCCGCTTTGCCGATGCGTATCAATCGATTGTTGTCGCGATTTTATCACCGACTTCTTGTATCACCGATCTAAATGCTTGCACGATATCCAACGGAATGAACGCAGCTGCTTCGAATCACCTCGAATAAATACGATCAAATGAATAGCCACATACATACACACACTTCGTACTGTTTTTTTTTTTTAGATGAGTTGGTCTGTGTGCCATTTAACGCAGCGTCGAAGACGACATATTATCATGCGAAGCGCAATGCAAACGACGAAAGAGAAATGCAAACAATAAGCTGTTGGATGCCGTTATTCTCTTTCGGTCAAAACACTTGGGTCGATGCGATTCGAAAAATGAAGAAGAGACAACAACAACACCAACAAATGAAGAGAAGACAAAGAGAACAAACAAACAGAAGAAACAAAGGAAAAGAAAGAATGAAAAAGAGAGCAAAATAGAGAGAAAGAAAGACGAGAGAGGGAGACAGAGAAAGAGGTAAAGAGAGAAGCTGAGATCGAGACAAAAAGAAATCTCACGTGGATTTATGCGGAGAACAAAAAAACAACGACTACGAAAAAAAAACTATTCGATTTTTAAGTGAACAAATATGAAGATGGGCAAAAAAAAATTTGAAAACGAAAACAGCGCTAACGGTCCAAACGCCGAACGAATCAAATTATCCAATTAGCACCGCATCGAAATCAAAAGTGAAAAACAATTGAAATTGATTGGCAATTGACAAGGTCGTTAAGTTATTCACGTTTTTCACCTTTCCAAACATTTACCCACCTTTTTATTTGTTTAAGCCTTAGAATTTCCATTAATCAGCCAATCTTTGTGACTATTTTTACCATTTCTAAGCCCAATCAAACGGGCAACGGAGAATGAACAAAAACTTTATTCGAATATTTATGAACGGGATATCGTTCAGCTTTCATGCTATCGCGATGAGTTATGCTCTTGAAATTTAAATTATAATATCGATAGTTTTTGAAGTGAAATTCATTTTTCACTTTCTTCTGATTGAGACATTAAACTCTTTTTGAGAAGACCTTGGGAAAAACACCAATGATTTGTTTGAACTTTAAAAAAGGTAAAAAAAACAGATTTTTAATGCAAATGATAATGAAAGTTTGTGTAAAAAAGGTGCTTCGATTTATTAGATTCAACACAAATGTGGCGCAAATTCAAGCAAATCGCTTGAAATGACTAAATTTGAAATTAAAATGAAAATTTTCGGCTTTGATTCGAACTTATTGATGGTTTTTTGCATTTATTCGTGGAATTTCATTGAAGAAAATGTGAATTTGAATTTATTTTCTATTTCTTCTCTGAAGAATTAAAAAAAACTCACTTTTTAATTCCTCAAAAAAGAAAAAAACTTCTCGAAAAGTATAACTTTCTTTAATTTTAATTCGGTATTTGAATTATTTTTCGCTTCTGTAGCCAGCGATCATCGGCATTAGTTGGTAAAAATTAAAACAATCTATTCTAACGACCAATTTGATGCTTGATCGCACATTTGTTTGATTTATCACTGAATGTGTTCATTGTGAACACGCTGTTTTCGTGCAAAATTAAGTTTAATTTTGTTGTCAGATTTTGTTCAAAAGATTACTCAAAAAAGTAACAAAGTTTTAATCAGAATTCAATTGTTATTAGTTTCAATCAAATTCGCCGAAAAAATTTGACATGTGTAGTACACATTGTGTACTTTTTTCTCTTTGACTAAACGTATTTCTTTTCGAATAAATGTTTCCCTTCGGAATGTTATTGCTTGGTTTATGCACTTCTTCGCGCTAAAGAGAGAAAAAGACACCGCAACGAAGAAGAAGAAGTAGAAGACAGAAGAGTAGATAGAGATTTAATTAAAATGAAAAACTCAAGTGCAACACGTGAAATGTTGTAATGTTGAATGTTATAATTTCTCTGGAAAACCTCTGTTCATCGGAACAGATGAAGTAAGTTTGATTCAATGAATTTTGTAACAAGATGTTGTTGTTACAAACCGCCAGCTATTTCACATCAAATCACTGTGAAACAGTGGATGAAGAGTACTCGATGCACTGCCTAGATTTTCTCCACGCGTTGCATGGTGTTTTCATTCATCGGTGATGATTTTATTTGGAATACGCGCAAGCAGCGAATAAGAGTACGCGCTGCTTGAGCATATTCTGTGAAATAAAAGCCGTACCAATGTTGTTTGGAGCAGCGAATGAGATTGGTTCAGATGAAAAGCGCCGACAAATGAAAACCCAAGAAGTGCGAAGAATACACGCTAGTCTTAGCTGAAAACCCCAAGCTTATATCGTAGTTGAATTGTTCAGATAACGGTTCTTTAACCAAAATATTCACCTCTATTATCTGAATAGTCGCCGATTCAATTGTCGCCGATTGAGTTTTGAAAAATCATTGATGATCCAAATATCACCCAGAAAAATGTTTTTGTTTAGATTAACTTTAATTATTATAAGTTTAATTTAGAGGAGAGACCATATTTTCATATATTAGATTCATCTATTTACCCCATAATAAAAAAAATGTATTTGATAGTTATAAAGAAACGCGTCATAGCCGCTATCATGAATATAGTTTAGTGCCTCTGAAAAAAATCAGAATTGGAATATTGCCTTCATAATCAGAGAAATGTAAAGTCCCGCGCTGATTATGAAAATTTCCCAATTTTTCGCTCCATTTGGAATGTATATGCCTCTAAAGAGATTAATTTATTTTAGGTCAAATATGATTTTTGCCAGTCACAACGCTTTGCTAACTGGAAAAGGCAAAGCCGCTTTCCTACGAAACGATAATTTCTTTTCGTTCGAATACAAATAAATTTATTCCGTAGGAAGATGATGCAATTGACAAAAACAGAAAAAAAATATTGAAAAGAACGCTCATACTACAGTAAACAAATGTTTCTAATCTCTCATTTATCTCTTTTTCATTTTTCTGAGCAATGTGATGCTCGATATACGTTCAAATTGTTCAGAAAAATAAAAACAAATGAATAAATCGCACATCGTTTGCAATCAATTTGTGGACTCTTTCATATCGCAGTTTTTTTGTTGTTGAAAAATTATCATTTTCAATAAAAAAGCAAGATCATTTGCTATTGATTGCTTACTACAGCAAAGCGATCATTTACATTGACGAGCCGATCAAAGAGTACATTGGATACGATTCATTTTTAAAAGTTGATGAATTAAAAAATGTACAGCTGATAATGACAGTTCTCACGTTTTTACGATGAATGCGTACTACGGATATGGTTTAATGATTACAAAGTCCATAATATGATAGCGTCAACACAGCAATATCGTCAGTGTGGCTATAATTAAACAACATGCGATTATGGCGAGATTTGTTTGTGTTGTTGTTGTGTTGACAAAAATTCGTTTGTTTACATTTTTCCATTCGAGTGATTCATATCAGTATAAACGTATTAGTAAATCTCATTTCGTCACCGTACCGAGATCATTATGCAAAATAAGCGCAGAAACATTGCGATTGAGACTGAAAGTTTCTGTTTTCGTTTCAACAAACCGATTGCCGACTGTTGTTTGGTGTGTGAACTTTAATCGCAATAACAGCTGACTGACACACACTAAAATGCTTGCACATCACGCTCACGATTAAGAATAGACCGGCTATTACGCTTCAGTAGTCCGAAATCAGTGCTACAAGACAGAAGTGATTTTTTGTTCTGATTGAAATAAAATATAGTGTTTTAAATGCTTTGAACTGCAAGTATTCGATTTCAATTCATATTCATTCGTTCTCTTTGAACATTTCCAACCATAGTTGTACTCTGCAAGTGTAAAAAAATGTTTTCCAAATTTCTGGTAGTAATTTGTCTCATTTTCATAAATGGCTGCCGAAGTGAAGAGGTGAGATTAATCAGGATTTAAATTCGGAGTTGATTTTTGAAGTGAAACTTATTGTGGTTTTTGATAAAATGGTGCTAATTTGGATTGAGCCGTTATCATTCAAAATTTTATTTCGATGAATTTTTGTGGCTTAAGTTTTTGCAATTCAATGAATGCTCATGCAAAATGTCTGGGAAAAAGTCCAAAAAAATCAGTAATCAAAATTCATAAATAGAACGTATGCACAACTGCAAGAGGCCAATCAGCCTTATCAGTTGAGCACCGGCACTTTTTCGAAGACAACAAAATTTGCGAATATTTTCGGAACTGATAAAGCCGTCAGGTTTCATCGAGCGTGAACAAAATGCAAAAGTTCTTTGTTCTTCGTGTGGTAAAGAAGCTAAAAAAAGGATCGATTACTGGTACAAACTTTCACGACTCTAAGAAAATATGCGCAGCAAATTAAAAAACTATCTTTAATAAATAAAATTTCACGTAAATACACGCACGAATTTTACTTCGATTTGGCGACAAAATGCTAAAAGTGATAGAAATTGTGAAATGATTCGATGCTACGATAAAATACGTTCTCTGGATCATTGAAGTATTGGACTTTTATTGGAAAATTTCCATCTTTGGCACATATAAAAAACGTTGCTTACATAAGAATAATCAGCTTCAAATTTGACTTGGAAAATCTGAAGGGGAATATGAATTTTGTACTGCAACGCAACGCATGAAAAATATGTGATATTTTTACGCGATATTTCTATCCCATATGAATAAAAATCAGGGAGTGTAACTCCGAGGAGGAGGAATGGTGAGGAGGTGAATGAGGAGGAGGAGAGCGCTGAGGAGGTTCCTCCTCCTCACATGAGGAGGAAATAAAAATTACCAAAATTGAGGCATATAAATTTATTTTAAACACTCCTATTGATGTTGATCGTAGTTTTTTATCGTTGGCATCCGTTCCAAATCAATAAAAGTGTTTAAAATAAATTTATATGCCTCAATTTTGGTAATTTTTATTTCCTCCTCATGTGAGGAGGAGGAACCTCCTCAGCGCACTCCTCCTCCTCATTCACCTCATCACCATTCCTCCTCCTCGGAGTTACACTCCCTGATGAAAATATCCCATAGTAATCTCTGCGAAAAAGTTAAGTGATAGAATAATCTACTCAAGGGGAAGTCCAAACTCCAACCTTCAAAAAAATCTACTTAAAATCAACGTATACGGCGTGAATTTCAATTGCTAAGTGTGTTGTTCAGCGCGATTATTTAACATTATTCGAATTTTTATTATTCAAATGAATCTCAGTTTACAATGCAATTGATGGATCAATAACTGTATACACAATCTTACGGCTATAGAAATAACCGGCGGTTTTTTTTCATTAGGCAGTGTCACGATCAAAGTATACTTTTATTACGGCTCATAATAAACTAATGCACTTATACTGGCGTTCTTCATGGCACACAATCGGTTGAGAGCATGTGGAGCCATTTGAGACTTTTTTTTCACTGTTCTGAACTCCCACTGTGGATGTGATACTATTCTTGTCTTCACTCTGAAGACGAATTCTTCTTTAAAATAGCGAATGAATTGATTTAAATTGATTTTTTCTTCTTTGGTCGTAATATTCAACTGAATCAAATCATATTCATCATAAAATCTACTAAATCTTGTCATAAAAAAATTTCTTCCTCTCATTTTCACAAACGATCTCTTCTCATTACAGTCAGCAACATACACAGCAGCGGTTGTCGAAGTAAATCCTCTGTCCGAAGGTAATACCACAAAGAGTGTGAATGAGGTCACAAAACAAGCCATCGACATCATTGAATCGATTGAATTGGATGGAGTCGATATTGTAGTTTTGCCGGAAGTCATTTTCAACCGTCAAAATACTGCTGTGCTACTACCGAATACAAACCTGTCATATTGCGATGATCCGGCCGTTGATGAGGTGCTCCGTAGTATCTCATGTGCAGTTCGAAAGGCTAAAAAATACGTGGTAATCGACTTGTATGTCAAAGTGAAATGTTCAATGGACGATCAATCGTTTTGCGCTTACGAATCCGATTCCACGAACCTCTACAACATGGCCATTGTCTTTGATCGCAACGGCGATGTGGTTGCGAAGTAAGTGGAGTAGCATAATCAATTGGTGGTCTAAAAATATCAATTTACTGAAATAATTTCATTTCAAGGTACCGAAAGTACCATTTATTCAATGAGGACGGAGTGCAACAGACCAAAACGCCCGATTTAACAACATTTAGAACCGATTTCAATGTAACATTCGGTGTGTGCATTTGCTTTGATCTGATGTTCGACGAACCGGCCATCAATTTAGTCGATCAAGGCGTGAAACACTTTGTTTATCCAACGATGTGGTTCTCGGAAATTCCGTATTTGACAGGTGAGAAACAGATTGTTGTGGGGCTTTTTTGGATTTCTTCTTTCGGATTTTTAATTTTAGTTTTCCATCTTTTCTCTCTTTTTAGCCGTTCAATACCAGCAAAGTTGGGCGTATGCGAATAATGTAAATCTATTGGCAGCCAATGTGAATGCACCCAGCATAAAATGTTCTGGCAGTGGAATCTACGGTGGACGATCGGGTGCGTTGCAAGTAATCGTCAGCGAATCACCGGCAACTAAAATTCTTGTAGCAAAGATTCCCATTGATCCAGCTGAAGGAAACCGTCTCGAGGCACAGTCAAATTCAAATCCAAACACCGACTCGAATGAAAGTAGTGAAATGATACTCTTCCAAGATGATATAACTGAGTACACCGTGACATTTTTGGACTTCTCTAGATCTCTTGGGCAAAGCGGAAGCGTGTGCAATAAAGCCATTTGCTGTGATTACAACATCGAAGTCAGCGACAATGGCGGATTGGAAGGAAAGGTGAAAAGAAAATCTAATTTTTTAGTCAGTTAAATATTGTTCTGTGAATAATATGGCCTTTGGTGGGAGAATTGGATTGAATCCACTCTGATTTGGGTGTTTATTCAAAAAAAGAGTGCCAAGAGATTGTGCGCAACGTTGTTGATCGATTTTTCCTCTCTTTTAAGTCATCATATTCATATGCAATATCGGTGTTCAGTGGACATCGTCGCTACAATGGCATCAACAATTTACTTACTGGTCAAGAAGTGTGCAGCTTAATCGCTTGTACTGAAATGAACACGAAGAGTTCCTGTGGAATTCGAACATCACCGTCACAAGTGCACAATCGATACAATTTCACAAAATTGTCGCTGAAAACAGTGCTTCCAGTCACTTACATGAAAGCCATGCCAAACACATTGACCGCAGACTTGCTGCCGCTCAATGTAAAGGAATTTGAGTACAAAATGTAAGTTTAGCTCTTTTCCACCAGTCATAATTTCCTTAATCACATTCAAAAACGAATATTGATTTTTTTTATTTATTGAGAGAAGAAACAGTTAAACAGTTTTGGCTAAAATTCCATCATTTTCATTACAGATCCAAAATAAAAGAACATTATGTGGTCGAGCTGCATTTGAATGTGCCAAAATCAAATCTGCTGACGTTTGCCATTTTCTCACGAGACTATGACAAGGATGTGATCACAAACGGCACAGAATCTAGCAAGATGACAACCATGATCACATTTTGTGTTTTTTCAAGCATTATTTGGATGAGATGCAGCCATTACGTCAATCATTGATATCAACTATTTTAGTATCATTTTTTCTATAAAGAAATTTTTTGGAATAAAATAATCTATTCATCGGAACTGTTATTTTCGACTAACTCAATCTTTGAACAATTTCTCCACTACATTTACTCGTACATTGTGTGACATTGTATCTGTAATGTGTTTGTCAAATAATATGATGTTGTCAGTTCGCAATAAGTAGATTTTATCGTGTAAACGTGTATAAACGATAACTAATTAGTTTTATTTGAAGTTCAGTTGATAGCCGCACGAAAATCAGTTGTTATCTCCACAATTTCGGTATTTGTTCAAATGAAATAAACATTTTTGACGGATTTAATAACTTATCATTATTACACATCACTTGATCTGTCATCTATATTTGACACGTTCCACCAATCCTGGAGTATTAACAGGGCAACCGAAAATATTTATTTAAATAAAAAATATTTAAATAAATATTTTGGCCATTTTTGAAAATTATATAGGTAAATATTTCCCAATTTTCGAGTTTTTCGTAAATATTTTAAGGTTTTTGACGTCTTTTCAGAAATATTTTTGAGTATTTTTCAAGCAATGATAAATATTTTAGATGAAGGTAACATAAATTTTGCAATAGAACATGAGTCATATTTCAAGACAAAACATTGCAAATGTACTTTGCACGTCTCTACATGACTTTGCAAATCGAAGATAATGGAATTATATCGAATTGTCTCACTTATAGTTGATCAAAACCAAAAGTTGCAATTCTGCAATATGTGCTATTTCGACAGTATTCAGTGTATTTATTTATACATTACTGTGTAGACGTTTACAAATTTTATTTATCAGCTGATTGAATGATCGCTTGAATTTGCAAATGTGTAGTCATCAAATAATATGTAAATAACGTTCTCGCGCACTAATAACTAATTACTTCGAACGACTCGATTTGACACTTTGAATTTCGTTCTCATTTGGAGACTGAAATAGACGCGTTCAAATTTGCTCCAATTACGTCAACCGATGTCGAGCGTTCATTTTCCAAGAATGTTTTGCGTGACAATCGACGTTCATTCCTTTTCGAAAATTTAGCTAAACACGTTATCATTTTCTGTAACAACTTCGAATAATACTTAACTGTCGAAAATGTCAAGAAATATTCAAAATATAAGGTTTTTTCCACTTATTTTTTTCGTAAATATTTTCAGCTTATTTTTAGTTTATCGTAAATATTTCGATGTTTTTTCGTGCATAAATAAATAAATAATTTTGACTTTTTTCGTAAATATTTTCGGTTGCCCTAAATATTAAAAACTGTTCGAGTGTGATTCTTATTCTTCAATAGAGTGAATAACATGTTGCATTCCCAAGCGCGACAGTACGATCAATTCGATGTCACATCAGTTAGATCATCCAACTTGGATGTGAGCATTCGTCCTAGGCAAATGTGACAAAGAGAATGAATATCAAAACTAAAGAGTCGTTGCTTTTATAAGAATTACTTGAGACTATTCACTAATATTCATTCATATGTGACAAACACATATTTCTCTGGATGTGACATCGAAGCGTGTGACATACTGTTGCGCTTGAAGGGACAACGCGTGATATGTTAGTAATTTTGTTTATTTTTTTTTTTCAATCAAAAAGCAGTGAACAACATAAGCAGAAAATGTTTCTTCACCTTTCCTTTCAATTCACCATTGTCGCTGACTCCGATATTGTAATCACAGCAAATGGCGTTATTGCACACTTTTCCGCTTGTTGTGTTTTTGATTTGGTTTTCAGAAGAAAAAAACAAGTTTGATGTTAGATACAACGTACATTACTCTGACTTCCCAAGAGTTAATCGGCATCCACTCTGAAATTCGTTCTATGTTGTAATCATGGATACGGGAGATATCGCAGTCGGTGCAAATCCAACGAATGAAGAATACAATTTATGGCAAAGTATCGATTTGCGCGTACAAAAATTGATAAGGATGGGTTGTAGCAAAGTAAATGTGCCGGATAACTTGTTCAAAGTTTGAAACTGAGAATCGCTTGTTTGTCTTGAAAAAATAATAAAATCAAAAACCACTAAAATGAATCGATTATTTTATTCCCAATGTTTTTTTTTTTTCATAAAACAAAATGATATCAACATAGTCCTATCAATGATTGACGCAATGGATGTGCCTCATCCAGATAATGCTTGACAAAACACACAACGTGATTATGATGACATCCTTTCTAGATTTTTGATGAGATGTTTGTGATTATATCCTTGTCATAATCTCGTGAGAATATGGCAAATGTTAGCAGATTTGACTTTGGCACATTCAAATTCAGCTCAACCTTAACATGATGATCATTTTGAGCTTCGGATCTGGAATGAAAATAATGGAATTTTTGTTGAAATTCTTATTTTTATTCGTATAAAATAGAAGAAGAAAAAACAATCAGTATCCCTTATTGAACGTGATTACCCAAGCGCGACTCCACTCCACACTCAACTTCTAAATGTGACACCTAGCTAAGTGTTAGCATTCATCGTACGGATAAGCGACAAAGAGAATGAACAAGTGCGCGTGTATTAGTCGCTACATTTATAAACATCACATCAGGCTACTCACAAACACAAGCTCACTTGTGTTCATTCTCTTTGTCGCTTATTCTTACGATGAATGCTCACACTTAGCTAGGTGTCACATTAATAATAAGTTAAGTATGGAGTCGCGCTTGGGTATAGATATTAAAATGTTGCCAACAAACAAATTACCTGAGATTTATTGGCAATCTTTCATAGCAATTTGAAATGATGTGATCGGCTTTTGTAAGACTGTTACGATTTCCTTTATCAAATAGGTACGATGATATGGATGCGATAAGATTTGTAGTGATTTTTGAACATTGTTCGATTTTTGCGAATTCATGACTTGAAAATTGGTTGGTGGATGGTGGAAAAGAGCCAGAACTTACATTTTGAAATCAAATTCATTTGGATTGAGTGACAGCAGGTCTGTGGTCAATGTGTTTGGCATGACTTTCATGCGAGTGACTAGAAGCACCGTTTTCAACGACAATTTTGTGAAATTGTATCGATTGTGCACTCGTGACGGTGATATTCGAGTTCCACAAGATTTCTTCATTTTCATCTCAGGACAAGCGATCAAACTGCACACTTCTTGGCCAGATACTACATTTTTGACGCCATTGTAGTGACGATGTCCACTAAATATCGATATCGCATATGAATATGATGACTGAAATGAAGAAAGAATCGATAAAAAATCTTGTTCTTCGAAGACGATCGAAGCGTAAACACAACAGCAGACTGTTTCTAGATTACAAAAACTAAATGAAGGTCGATTCAACCAAATTCTCCCATCAAAGACCATATTAATCAACAAACAATGTTTAATTAATTGAAAATTAGATTTTCTCTTCACCTTTCCATCCAATTCGCCATTGTCGCTGACTTCGATGTTGTAATCACAGCAAATGGCTTTGTTGCACACTTTTCCGCTCTGTTTGAGATTTTTGGAGAAGTCCAAAAACGTAACGGTGTATTCAGTTAGGTTATCTTGGTAAAGTTTCATTTCAAACGGATATTTTTTGGGTTGAAAACTGCTTTCATTCGAGTTGATTTTTAATTTATTTTCGATACAATTTCCTTTCGTTGCTTTATATTTTCTCGATGGATAATGTTCAGTTGGCAATGGATCAATGGGAATCTTTGCTATAAGAATTTTTGTTGCCGGTGATTCGCTGACGATTACTTGCAACGCACCCGATCGTCCACTGTAGATTCCACTGCCCGAATACATCATGCTAGGTGCATTCACATTTGCTGCCAGTAAATTTACATTGTTCGCGTACGCCCAACTTTGCTGATATTGAGCGGCTAAAAAGAAAAAAATAATTGAATTTCAAAATTAGAAATCAAAAAAGCCCGACAACAATCTGTTTCTCACCTGTCAAATACGGAATTTCCGAGAACCATTTCGTTGGATAAACAATGTGTTTGACTCCTTGATCGACTAAGCTGTTGGCTGGTTTGTCAAACATTAGATCAAAGCAAACGCACACACCGAATGTTACGTTGAAATCGGTTCTAAATGTTGTCAAATCGGGCGTTTTGGTCTGTTGCACTCCTTGTTCACCGAACAAGTGATACTTTCGGTACCTTGAAATGAAATTATTTCAGTAAATTGATATTTTTAATTGATTATGCTACTCCACTTACTTCGCAACCACATCACCGTTGCGATCAAAGACAATGGCCATGTTGTAGAGGTTCGTGGAATCGGATTCGTAAGCGCAAAACGATTGATCGTCCATTGAACATTTCACTTTGACATACAAGTCGATTACCACACATTTTTTAGCCTTTCGAACTGCACATGAGATACTACGGAGCACCTCATCAACGGCCGGATCATCGCAATATGACAGGTTTGTATTTGGTAGTAGCACAGCAGTATTTTTACAGTTGAAAATGACTTCCGGCAACACCACAATATCCACTCCATCCAATTCAGTCGATTCGATGATGTCGATGGCCTGTTTCGTAAGCTTAGCTACACCCTCAGTTGTATTTCCAACGCACACTGGATTTATTTCCACTACTGCCCCTGTGTACGTTGCAATCTGGGTTTGTGGAAAAGAAAGGAACGAAAATTGATGAAAAAATTAAGAAGTTTTCTTTGTAATGAATACGATTTGATTGGAGGAGTGAGGAAATAATGTGATAACAATGACTAATACAATCCATTTATTTCATTTCTTGAAGAATTACTAGATTATTATTATTCAACTCTATTAAAATGGTCATTGGTCAATAGTCTCACCTGCTCACTTTGACAGACATTCAGAAAAATGATACCAATTAGCAGCAAAAATGTTGAAAACATTTCTTCACACTTTTAGAATACAATTTTGGTTGGAAGTTAATTTTTATTCACCAAAATACGTGTAATTTCTTGATCGACGAGAGAACACCAACGGAAATTCTTCAAAGTTCACAGTTCCAAAACAAACGATCGAAAGAATGGCTGTTGTTTCAATTCTGAACTTGTGAATCCGTATGGAATAACACTAGTTGAATCTACTATTTTTATAGTATAATGTGACCAATTGACGTCAATTGTTGAAATTCCATTCCAACTAAGCAGGAAATTCCTTAACTCCTAGTTCGCCTACAAATTATTTACTTTTTGACAAAAAAAAAACTAAATAAACAGAGTATGTTCTAAGCGCATTGACATGGGTCGTTTTAGCATACAAAGTTCGTTCAGTTTCCATGATCGTGATATCAATTCACTTTATTTGCCACTCTATTGACTGAAATACCACATCTCGCATTGCGAAAATATATTTTCTCCAAACGAAGTGAATGTACAAACAAAAGATGTTCTATGTAAATTTGAATGCTTGACTCACACAAAATAACAAAACAAACAGTTTCGATGATCGTGGTATCAATTTGTCACTCTATCGACTTGTGACTCGTTGAGCAGAAGAGATTCGCGCGTGTAACCTTGAATTCGACTCGTATGATTTTGTAAACGCAATCGATCACAATTTTCACATATTTTTGGAGAACAGCAAACGTTCAAAACTTATTATGCACATATCGCGTTGGCTTCTACTCCATATTTGATGATAGGTTCCGATGATGAAACTTTTGATTACAAACTGAAGTCAAATTTTGATTTTTTAAAAACGATTTTACATTATGCGATGATCTAGGGAATTCGCCTGTTTATTAGACCACGGGAGAAAGTCGGCTTCGAATTTGTAGTTAAGTAATAAAGGTTTGCCTCACTATTCGGAAAAAAGAAAGAAAATGCAATCGATGTTATTGAAAAGCAATGAAAAAATACATACTTACGCTTTTTAATTGCCCGGCTCTCCGCCCATTGGCAATTCATTGGCTTGGCACTCTCCTCCATCTAACTCCTCTATAGAAGCGCATGCTCTTGCGTAGAATGGAACAGGTGAGCAAATACTTTCAGCGACGAATATTCAACTACACGCGTGTGCAAGCAACTGTGTTCTGCATTCCACGGGCAGCCAGGTTGTCTCAATCCGGTATTTGGATAAAAATTGGCCGGTTCAATTGGATGGTCCATTCAAATAATACGCCGTTAGCGTAAATTACTTCAACGTATTTAATTTGAGAAGAAAAATATTTGCAATTTTTAATCTCAAGTAACTTTCTGAAATGAATGACACTCACTTTGCATCATCACGATCCAATCGTTCATTAGGTTTATCCACGGAGAATAGTGGACCAGCGGGATCTAAGTCAATTATTTTTGGCAATTTCCCGGATTTCACATACTTTCCGGCTAAATAGAGAAAACAGTTTTTGGCATAAGCTCTCGATAAATCAATGGATATGGTTAGTGGGATGAATCAATGTTGTTTTTCGTAGGGGAGCGAAAACGACATTGAGTAAAAAACGGTGTGTATGTTTTTGATTTGGTTTTCAGAAGAAAAAATCAAGTTTGATGTTAGATACAACATGCATTACTCTGACTTCCCAAGAGTTAGTCGGCATCCACTCCGAAATTTGTGTTATGTTGTAATCATGGACACGGGAGCTAGGGGCTTCACGCAAAATTTTCAACCATTGAATTTGTGTAGTGATAAATAAATAGTAATAAGTTTTAACGATTGTTATGAATTTGAAACGATACAAATAAATTTTGGTGAATTCTAGTGAATTTGTCGATAAATTAGATTTCACAGTCTTGCCAACTTAGCTGTCAAACTAAGTGTCGAACCTAGTGTTTAGCAATGAAAAGGGTCGGTAATACAAATTCTTGTAATTTTTTCTACTCACATAAATTCACCAAAATTCACCAAAATTCACCAAAATTCACCAAAATTCA